ACTACATACTACGATATGTATCCACATATGAACAACTACACAGTGGATGTCACTCGTATGTATATGACGGAGCGTGCCTCCGTCGGAAATAGGCCGGTCTTGTCGGCGGTGGCAACAGTAAATTGCGGTGCCGCGCGCTTAACACTGTTAACGGACTACGACTTCGTTAGTCACCGTCGTCCGCTTAACCTCACTGGTGACACTTCTCCAGTGCACCCAAAAGCCCGTTGCACAAGGCTGCTCTTTACCGCGAAACCAGCGTGATGACACGGTAGAACGAAACCAGACAACCTCGAAAAAGTAGCCGCAAATTAATTTAATCAATGGCTCATAATTTGAAGAAATATAGATATAATTATATTTTCTCCGTATATTATAGAATAAAATAAAAAGACAAAAAATTAAAACGTACCAAATCGAAGGTTTAATAACCAATAAACATACCGATAAAATAAATAAAGTATCTTTCTATTCGAAAAAAATAAAAAAAAAATTAAAAAGAGGCAACGCTGTGGTTTTCGAATATCAAAGATTTCAGATACATTTCATATTATTAATAAAATATGTAACAAATCGATAGGAGAAACGCCACTATTGTGAGGAGGTCACGAATTGCGGCACGTCGATCGACGATGGCGCGATCTAACTTTGATCTTGTTTCAAGAACGGACCGTGGATTTCGAAATTGGAATTCTCGGTCAGATAGCACGTACGGTCTCCAGCTCCATTGGTTAATGCAGTAATACCCAGCAGGTTGTGGATTCATCCGATCGGCTTGTATACACTAACGTACACATCGCAATGTCGACGGTATAATCGTGGAACGCAGAACAATTCCTCGCTGTGGTATCTATCGTACAGCTGTGAGAATAATCATTTCGTTATGCTGCAGAAATACCAACGGCCTTGCGTCCGTCATTCTCTTTTCATCAGTTCTCTCATCATACCTTTCGCCCATACGGTATATACGTCTCCATGTATCCGCCATTTGTCACGGAATATTATGCATCGCGCGACCACGCGTACTCGACCGGCATAAGGAACACCGATAGATACTCGAGTTTGGATATTACTTGTGTTTTATCGCCTCGCGCGGTCCACCGAGTTCGAGAGTTAACTCCGATCACGCTCGCGAGCTCCCGAGCGGAGAGTTAGAAAATCGCTCGGCTGACTCTCGGGGTCTAATGCACGATTTACCGGCGGACCATGCGGAATCATAGATTATAGTTAATATCCCAGAATTGAACTTCGATGATAAAGAAATGTCTGTATGACAATCGTTCAACTCTCTTTCACGCGGCTTGGAAGGATTTAGTAGTAAGAATAGCGCTAAATTTTATTATGGTTTAGTCGTTTAACATTGTAATAATAATTGACATAATCATGAAAAAAATCGTATATATCTATATGGATAGAATTTTAAAGAACGAGCAAATTATTTCCTAATTTTTATGCTAAGATTACATCTTCCCTCGTGCACAATTTTTACATTCTAAATTTTTTGCAGCGAAAATCTCACTCCAAGAAAATGAAAATACAACCACCTTTCACTTCTTGAAAAAGAATGACAATTTTCATTCTTTTTAGAGTAAATTTTCACTTCAAAGAAGTGAAATCTCACTTTTTCTGGAGTAAAATTTTACTAAAAAGTGTGAAAATTGTCACTTCTTTTTTAAGAAGTGAAATGTTTTCACTTTTGTTCAAGGGTGGTTGTATTTTCACTCTCTTGAAGTAAGATTTCACTATTAGAAATTTAGAATATAGAGAATTGATAAAAAATCTTATTAAATTTTTAAAAGTAAATAATGTCTTAGTACTCTTAACATATATCTGCAAAAATATTATATTTTAAATTACAATTTATTTTCTCCATTTTTTATTTTTCGAGTAAAATATGTTCGAGGGGAGTGCCCATCATTTCTTATTTCGATGCATCAATCGAATTGCGGAAAAAATATGTCTACCATTTGAAAGCATTAATATTTACCTGACAGCCGCATCAACTGCACTTGCACGCATATGTAAAAATGCATTATGTGAGAAAGAAATTTTAGTCTGTAACGATATTTCTTCCGGCTCACATTTACGCCGCAATTAATGGAATTACACACAGAAGTTTCATCTCGGCTTTAAGCGTCAGACGTTCATGCCGCACATGCAGGCGGTCATTATCCGACGGGATTAAACCGTCCGTCGTTGCTGCACGAATTAATCGGTTAAGCGGGATAACGTCTGTATGTATTAATGCATACGGAATTCGTTACGAATAATATCCAACTATTTTCTTTCACGACTGCCGGTAGCAGCACTCATGCTAATAATCGTTTTAATTAAGCGATACATTCGATTATATATTTCATTCTGTAATACATTACATACCATGTGCATTATATCTAACGATTATAAATTGTATACAATTATAGAGAGTAACATACGCGCACGCATGTGTGTGTGTGTGTGTGTGTGTG